GTAAGAGCAGACTGATTGCTATAAAAGGAGGGAAGAAGCACTTCCAATCATTGTGTTCTTGTTAGCAATGGTTACCTCCAAAGAAACACGTGCATCCATCATCACTTTGCATCAAAATGGCCTCGCGTGCAAGGAAATTGCTACAAAGAATATGGCACCTGAAAGAACCATTTACCGGATCATCAATGACTTCAAGGAGAGAGGTTCGACTGCAGTGAAGAAGTCTTCAGGATGGCAGTCAATGGGACAGTCACAAGCCTCCCGGTTTTCATCCAAAATATCTTAAATTGTGTTCCGAAGACAAACAAAGTTTTACGGGTTTGGAACGACATGGGGGTAAGTGATTTGGGGTGGAGTATCCCTTTAAGTCACTTGCTGCCACCTACTGGCGGTTGTTTCATATTTAAAAAAGTAGCTTATTTCATTTTTTGCAGTCATTTAATATTTAAATGTTATATTTAAACTTTACATAATTTATGCAAAATCCATCTATGGATTTTGTTGATAGTAATAAAGTATATTTACATTTTTGTGTATTTTGTGTTGCTCCATAATGATGTTCTAGTTGAGGGTATTTGTAGTGTATAGGGTCCAAACATAACCTCAAGCCCAGGGGCCCCTGGCCCCCTAAGTCCTGCCCGTCGGTAGCAGTGCTATATAGCACCTCAACCACTTCAAAGAACTACTGAAAAACCGATTTTTTTTGTGTGTGTGTGTATGTACAACAATACAAATTACAATGTAGCTATAGACAATACACATACATACATACACAAATCAGCGTGAAATTGCCAATTCAATATTCAAATACTAAAATATGCATTACCACCACCTAAAAGTACAATCTTGCACTCTTAAAAGAAGCAGTGAATCATCTAGCTTCTTTTAAACAAAAGTTACTGTATTTTAGAAAAATATTGAGGGTGGTCCCACGTTATTTCAGTGACATGTAATATGGGAAATTTATTCAAACAGGAAACTGGAGTAGTTTCAACTAATACACAAACTCAAACACATATGACACGTGTTTTCAGCGTCTGCGTCTCAATATATGAGGACATGAACACATGCACTTCATCTTCAGAGCTTGGCGGACAGAAAGTTCAGCTTACTCTGGCATATTTGGTATCTATGTTGTCGACATAAGCCAGGGAATATTTTGAGACCAGTTTCATTGCAATAGGCTGATGCAATCAAAAGTTATTAGCATTTTTGGAAATTTCATAATTAATAATAAATCAATGGTTTATTACTCTTGACCAATAGGTGGCGCTGTTACCAAATTGATGTGGCGTGGTCAGTGTGAGGTGACAATGGCACATACAAAGTTTGGTGCAAAGACGTCAAAGCTTTGCAGAGATACAGCCTCAGATGCATTTTGGCATCTTAACAAGCAAATTCGTTGATGCTCTAAACGAAAACCGCTTCGTATATCAACACGAAATCCATAACTTTTTGCCAGCTTGGTCTGAAGATGATCCGAGTCAAATTTGGTGAAAATTGGACTAACAGTCTAGGAGGAGTTTGAAATAGTAAGTTTTCAACATGAATCAAAATGGCGGACAGGAAGTTCAGCCAATTATGGCAAAATTGGTATCGATGTTCTCAGCATGATGCAAGGAATCTATCAACATCAGTCTCATTACAATATTATAATGTATGCAAAAGTTATTAGCATTTTTATAAATTGCTTTATAACTTTTGACCACAAGGGACCACAACTTTGCGCCCAAAGTTTTTGAGTGCCACCAGGGCATGGTGC